TTGTCATTAAAGCAAGAAATTCATGAAATTCTTATCACTTCTAGATCTAAGACCATTTTGTCTGTCAAGGAGGCATAGTGATCATCTACCACATTAATGTTGCGAATAAGAACAAATGTCGACACTGCGAGTGAAGCAATACAAGAAGCCAACAGTAAACGAGAGGGGGTGAGTTTAAAGTGATATCGGAAGCGAAGGTCCTTGAACCGGCGACCTTCGTGGCCTCTCGAAGACAGCATATGATGAAGCGTAGGGAGCGCCTAAAGAAGTCTGTCTATACAAGTAAAACAGAGTGATTGATAGCACAGTTGTTGATTCAATTCGTATTAGGATCACCTTTTATTAGGAAGACGACTAAGCTGAACATTCGACGGCGTCGATTTTTATTGTTTGGCGACTGTATCTTGTCGATCTAAGAAGTAGAAGTATCAGGGATTTACTGATGCTTCAGGACTTGATGAATTGACTTAAGCATTTGCAATTCTGCTGCACTACAGTATGACGAAATTGAGTGATTTTAGATAGCTTTCTTTGTAGCAGGTATGGAATATGGAAATATGCAGGCATGGACATATGTCTTCAAAACTTGGAAGTCTACGGCTGTAGGAGTCCAGGTCGTCGAGACCACTCCCGAGATTCGCCGAAAAAATGGTAAATTCCAAGGTAGATTCTAGTGAAACTCCCGAATCTTCGTCGTTCAAAACATTTTTTCCGAGATGCGCCTACACTCGGGGCATTGAATCAAATCTAGATTCTACTGACATTATTCCAAGTTCCCCAGAGTTTCGAGAACTGAAAACAGTTTATCTTTCAATTGGCATCAAGCGTTTTCCTAGTTTGTAGTCCTTGCCGTACATCCCTCCCCTTCAGAAACATTTTGTCTTGTCTTTACAATCATGGTGCTTCTGATATTTTGTAAATGTACATCATGAAAGGGGTACGAACTCTTTACTTTAAGGACAGATTTGCACGAGTAATATGTACCTGATATGGGTCACGATCATCTTCGCAAGAGTTCCTACACATAAAACTCATGGAGGGCCTTCACAAACATGTGTAGCAAAAAACATTGTCTTCAAGTAGAGCTCATGGCATGTAAACGAATTCTCTCTCATATTCTTCCCCACGAGACGCTGCAGTGACATTACGGCGAAACAATGACGTTCCTTTATACATACCACAGAGTACAGAAGGGGTATCTTACAAGAACAGAAATTGCAGATTAATTATAATGAATTATTTTATAATTTATAGAGCTCATGGCATGTATAAAGCATTTTGGATGAGGGTTTTTATTCACTTGAAAAAAATCTCTTGTGTCATTCTCCTTCTATAAGCAACAGACAACAAAGCAAACCTTATCCAACTTCAATCACGTCTTTTTGAGGCCAAGAGACAAGAACTTGGGATGATGCATCTTGCCTTTTCTATTTTTTGTGTTTTAGTGCTCATAGGAGCGCGCATACAATCCGCTGCTTCTCAAGAATGTCCGCGCCTTTTCATGAAAGCGAAGGTACGCTCAAATGCGAAGCGCAGCATTTTATTCACGAAAGCGAGGGCCAAGATTACTGTCACGCTCGGCACCAAAGATCCCGTTAAAAACTTAAACTTCATGATGACTTTGCCGAATGGACTATCGATTGAAAAGACCGCAACTCGCCCATCCTCCAAACTGCATGCGCCGCCTACAACTATTGAGAGCCTTGATGGCACAACAAATGTCTATTGGGGTACTATTGCAATTAATAAGAATCGGATGCGTCGTTTTCGAGCCAAAGTCAAAGTTGATGAGTGTACTTCCAAGACTTTGAATGTGAACGCGCTCGCTTATGTTATCAACGCAACATCCGTCTCCTGCATCACAACATTAGAGAGCCCAGCACAGTTACAAGTGCGAAATTTCAGGCTGAAGCGAAAGATGACATGTGCTCCGACCCCAGCACCTTCTATGAATCGTGCGGAACCGTTCCTCCTTTTCGCACGAGGGCAACGTTTCTCGCAAGGGAGCCTATCTGCACCGATTGAGGATCGCCGTCGATCTATGCACGCTGAGCATAATAATGCGACGACTTTCTTGCCTTCTACAGATCACACAAGTCGGACTCTCCGAGGGATTTTCACCCCGAAAGATTGCTATGAATATTGCTCGCTGGAGGAGAATGATTTTGTGCCTTTCTTCTTTAATTGGAACACTGTGACAAGTCAGTGCTTCTGCTGCGAAGATGTGTGTACCCCTTTTATCTTTGATCCCGCATATGACATGTACGAGGTGAATCTCGCTGCCACCGCGGCACCTACTTCAGCTCCGACGACTTCCACACCGGGTCCAGCACACTCTGCCCCTATACTGGTCCCTACGCCCGTTGGCCGAGACGTTATTATAAAAATCGGAAATGGTGCAGATGACACCACAGGTGGGAGCTTTCAGTTTGCAAATATTATCAGCCCAGGCATCACGGTCAGTAAACTTGATAAGATGATCGTGAGGAAGGAATTTGGATAGAAGGAGAGCTCAAATCTCCCTAAAGCAAAAAATTATGATTTTTGCAATCATATTTGAAAGATCTAACTACCCTTGTATTCGATTTCCACCTTTATCCTTGTACACATAGGCCGTCGTAAACGTGGTTCCAGATGCCTCTGATCCTTTATTTGTGCCGCCCAGCGGTTTCTCGCTTGGGAATCCGCCAGTTTATATTTTCATCAGCACTACTGCTATTTTTGACGGGGATATTGATCTGTGCCTGCCCTACTCTAAATCTACTTTTCCAAGGGGCACGGAGCCTCGGCTCTTTCATTTTATCAACGACACGTGGGACGATGTGACCACAGAAGTGGATTCAGAATCTGAGCTCTTGTGTGGTAGAGTGACATCATTCAGTCCCTTTGCCCTCGGAATAGTAGCAACCACCGACGCGCCTTCGATTTCACCAACACAAGTCCCTCGTACACCAGATTTGACAATACAGCCGACAGGAGCTCCGACCGTGGCACCTACGATGCATTCGACAGAAGCTCCGACCGTGGCGCCTACGAGGCAGCCAACGGAAACTCCGACCGTGGCGCCTACGTTGCAGCCAACGGAAACTCCGACCTCGGCGCCTACGATGCAGCCAACGGAAACTCCGACCTCGGCGCCTACGATGCATTCGACAGGCGCTCCGACCGTGACACCTACGATGCATTCGACAGGAGCTCCGACCGTGACACCTACGATGCATTCGACAGGAGCTCCGACCGTGGCGCCTACAACGAAATCGAATGGAGCCCCGACTATGGCGCCAACCATGCAACCATCTGAAGCTCCCTTCGCGGTACCTTCAGACGCTCCCTTCGCGGCGCCTTCTGAAGCTCCCTTCGCGGTACCTTCTGA